TTATATATATATATATATATATATATATGGTGAGGTTCAATAGAGAACCGTAATTAACCAAAGAACCAATCGTGAGCGTCGGAAATCATAACGATCAACAGCCAAGGAAATAGATATACAGTTTTACATTGGACGCACACACACAGGATTATACCAAAAAATCCACAATTTACAAAAAAACCCAACACTTTTTTTCGTTTAAAATTTTTTTTAGGCCATGTTTTTTATAAAAAAAAAAAATCGAAAATATCGTTGATCACGATTTTTCGTCCTCTTTCCATAGAGATCTATGATGATATATAAAAAACAGATTTTTTTTTTCGAAAAAAACCCACTTCATTTTCTTTAATGAAAAAAGTTAAGGTCTATTTTTTATAGAAAAAATTTAATAAATATATCAAAATTCATATTTTTTTTGTACTTTTTAAACATAGATTCATATTCATGTTAAAAAAAAAAAACGATATTTCAGTTCAGATTTACATTGTGAACCTGTTCAGATTCATATTGTAAACTTATTCAGATTCACATTGTGAACCTCCTCAGATTCACAGTGTGAATCTGAACTGATCGGAGCTTTTTCATATTGTGAATGTTAAAAATTGAAATATTTACAGTTTAGATTCACAGTGTGAATCTACATTGTTCGATGTTTTTTTTAATCGTTGTTGATCTTTATTAATAGAGTACAAAAATTTAATATTTTTGGTATAATTAGTTTTTTTTTTTTTTTTTTTTATAAAAATAAACTTAAATATTGAAAAAACTAAGAAAATTAAGTGAGTTTTTTTCGAAAAAAAAGTTCGTTTTTAATATATCATCATGTATCTCTATGGAAAGAGGACAAAAAATCGTGAACAACGGTATATTCGGTTTTTTTTCAATAAAAAACTTGGCCTAAAAAAAATTTTAAATGAAAAAAAGGAAGTGAGTTTTGTTATAATCCGGTACATGTGCGTCTATTATAAAATTTTACAACCCTTCCTTTTGCCGTTGATCGTTTTAAATTCCGACGCTTTAGATTGGTTCCTTAGTTCCTTGATTAATAATGGTTCTCTATTGAACTTTTCCATATATATATATATATATATATATATAT